CAATCATCTGTACTCTAAACTTTTTTAGAATAGCCCTGGCATAGTTTTTGCGTGGGCCAATAGCAAATAATTTTCGGATATGGTTTGGGAGCTACCAAGGACTCTTCTTGGTTGGCCATCTGCATATGGCCACCCCATATGGAAAGCTGGAAAAAAGCTTATAAGGCAGCTTATAAATGAGCCCACACAAATACTGGAAAATAGTATCAATGTTGGCCATTCAATGCCTCAGTACTAGCAAATAGTCTCAGGCACATGAAATTTCCTACTATGGATGTAACCATACAGATGCAGCCAAAAAATAAAGGTACGGTGAGGTTAAGGTTGCTTAAGATCGTCACACCACCTGACTCCACAAGGACAAAGCAACAGAGAGAAAAAGAAGATATAGCTTGCTGATAAGTTGGATGGCTTTTTCCAAATAAGACGTTTATCAGAACTGAGTTTCCAGCATCTTCAGAGATGTGGGGGAGCAGGTCCCAGAGGCTTGCTCGGCTGCCAGGGAATTAGTCCTCCACACAGAGACCTGCACAGAGCATTATCCTTTCCTAAAACTTCATAGCTGCTCAGCTGAAAAAATTCAATGCTCTCAAAGAAGAAAGGACAAAGTACTCATACCATTCCATGATGCTATTTTTAGGCTGTCCTAATTTCATTTACCTCATTTTAAAAAAGGCTGAGTCAGCAGATACTGTCAAAATGGCCTAGTATAACCTAGTGTCAGAGTTTTTCACATGGTTTTGACTGGGCAGTTTCTTTTATGAAATAGTTTGGCCTTTCCTCTCTTCCCCATTCCCCCATACACACATACACCTCTACCAGTTCTAAGGAAGAAACCCAGCCCTACCCATGGTATTCACACAGCCATGGCAACACCATTACTGCAGTCCAGCTCAGCTTGATTTGCCACCGTAGAAGGGACAGGGATGGCACAAAGGGGATGAGGTAGGGAGTCGTTGCCCAGTCAATCAGACCACTGTGTCCCAGCATGGACCCAGCCAGTCACTCCACTTGCCTTACATCCCCCTACTGCCACTGGCTCTTCACCTGGCTGTCAGAATAATGATAATTTAAAAATGACATTTTCCTCAGGCTTTTCATATCCTACCAAGATTTTTCGCTTCCCTTCAGTCCATGAAGTGAGAGCGTCCAGCCTGTTAAGCATCTTTCTGAGCCAAAAAGTAGATTAAGAACTTGAAAACAGCCTTGGTATATATCTGAAGGAAATCCAATTCTCAGAATGATTTGAAAATTATCCTAAATTTTGTAAGACAGTCAACACCACAGATCTGTACATACTCAGCATACAAAGAAGCAATTCCTCCCAGAGGAAACTGCAGTAATACTTATTTGAGGACTACAGACACAGGAAAGTATCACAGAAACTAAAAAAAAAATACACACCTATAACCATCAAATGTATGAATGGATACAAAGAGCTTTGAACTAGCATAGATACTTTAGCAAGAGCATGTAAGAATGTTGATGCTGTGGCAAACTGACTTTCAGCAAAGCACTTTGTTCAGCAAAAGCTATCACATGCAGCAAGTGTCTGAAAAAAGACTAGGAATTTCATGTGCCAGATGACCAGCAGATACTGATTTTGCACATCTGGGAACTCTTGACATTGAAAACCAATAATACTTGCCATGGAAAGTGTGTCAAACTACAAAATGACAAAAATCATGGCGTAACTCATCCAAGAGTCGCCTTATAGAAAGCTTAAAGCATGAAACATTTCAAACAAAACAACAAAACCCCCACCAAAACCAAACCCACCATTCCAGCAAGGACCAGAATAGTCTTTACTGAATACAAAAGACAACACGAGGAAAGAAGATGGAGTGACAATGGTTTACCAAGCTTTACCCCAAGACTTCCACAACCAGTCACTTCTGGACCTCAAACAGGAGATCCAGAAGGGAATGATTTCAGAAGTGTTTACTCCGGATGAACTTGAATGAAATCTCATGAAGCATAAACAAATGACATTTAAAAAATGACGGCATCAGCACTAGGACCAAGGAAGCTTGCTTTCCTCAGGGCTTGTGTCTTGTGATCAACTGAGGGCTGCAGTCAAATTTTTTTCCTATGGTTAAGGCATTTGTAAACATTTGATGCCATGTGGATTCTCTTTTGCTTAGTAACATGTGAGCCCATGAATGCCTCTCTCGTACAGGACTTCTCTCAGGCTTTTCTCTCCTCACCCAGCAGGGCATTATTTTCAATAAACTCATTGGAGCATTTTTCCCGCCCCCCTCTTTAGAACTTAGCCATCTGTAAAATTCACTTGAATCATCTGCAGAATCATAAATTGCTGGTGAGGTTGGGGAGAGAGGAGAGGAACAAACTAACATGTACGTGCCAAGTAATTGCCAAAGTCCCGTTCCTTTAGCAACCTGACTACAAACAAGGACGATAAAAATCTTTAATAACAGAAACATCAGGTAATCTAAGTATGGACAGACAGTCTCATAAGGTAAACACGACATAGTATTGTTTAAAATTATTAGAACTATCTACCTTATTTTGAAAGGTCATTAAAAATCAGTGACTTGGTATGATTTCCTTCTTAGGAGGAACACTTGCCACATTTATGACACAAAGATTGGCATGCTTGAAGTGTACATATGAATAGATTCAAGAGAAATCCCAAGTGCTGACTGATTAAGGATATAATGATTTGGATTAAACTTACAAAGCAACAATTTATAACTGTTGGTTAAACCTCCCTGAATTCACCAACAAAGAAAATTCCAGAAATCCTCCAGTCCCCAAGAGCAACACAATAAAACTGCTGCAACATGAAGCTGTACTTTAGGACTCAGAAAATCCAAAGACTCTGATTATCTCAAATTTGTCACTCCACACCTTTTTCCCAGCTAAAAACTACAAGCAAATCATCAAATACAAAGTAGCTATGACAATTACCACACCAACATGTCATCTATTCCAAGCAGACAGAGCATCCACATAACATCATTTATGAAAATCAACATGAAAGTGTTAAGAATTATGAATGTTTTAATAAATGAATATAAATAGGTCACTTGTAACTTTATGATAATGGAATTAAAACACAACAATATCAATAAACATAGATTTTTATATATAAAAAGTGTCGTTTATTGTAAGGAAACTTTAACCAACAATATTGAAAATATCGTGACTGGCATTTATGGCCTTGATTGTAGTTTACTGCCATACAAGAAATTTCTAGCATTTTTCTTAATCACATCAAGCTTGTGCAAAATATAGGTAGCTTTTAGAGAAGCATACAGAATGACAAGAGTGTAGATTTTGGTTACCTGATATTTCCTTCTAGTATAACAGGATTCTCTTTTTTCCATAAATCAAAAGTACAAAGGCAAGTTATCATATCTGCAATTATTCATACCAGGTTTCTAGGTAAAAAAAAAAATGACAATTGTAAATTTTGCTCAGGTTGTATTTTGTTAGGAATCTGACTTATAATTTATACCATACCGTATGATATAAATTATATATTGTTATCATATTATATAATCATAATTTCATATACAGGTATGATTATATAAATTGTCAGACCATATCACTAACTATAGGATAATAACTACATCAACATACACAAATATATGGCATTAGAAAAGTCGTTATCTAAGAAGGAAAGATGTTATAATTCAGGTGTTTGAAACAGGGCACAAGCAGCCTTCCTACAATTCTTGCAGTATCATTTTGGCAGAACTACTGCCAATCGCCATTATGTGCACTAGCTTCCCATGTACATCGACAGATAGGTCAGTAAGCAGTATTAAAATCGGACTGTGCCTGAAATTTCCAGTCACAGACCCCTGTAAGCAATGAGCTCTGTGCTCCTAATTAAGATGATATTCTCTCTCCTCAGTCTCAGAAGGTATCCCATGCTATTACAGCTAAAAAGAGATTATTTATGATGACCTACAGGTTTTTGAAAGCAGGACATGTCAGCTTTAACAACGACATACTTTCCAGACTTGTGCAAAGCTTGTGAAGTATTGATCTTTCAAATTAAAAATATTTTTGTACTTCCTGATAAGGATTTTTCAAGTACAAGCTTAGTTTAGCATGGCTTTCAGTATCAATCACTTCAGTAATTGAATCTGGTCTTTGATAGCTAAAATTAGACTGCAAGAAGAGAGATATACAGAGACAATTTCATTTGAAATAGGTAAAAGATTTAGCAGATAAAAAAGGTGAGATCTAAAAAAAAATTAACTGGAGAACAAGCATAGATAGAGAAGACAAAATGCATAAATATAAAACAAGGGAGAAGGAAAACAATATAGGTTATGCATGATTAGGTAGAACATGACAACAACCTGTGCCTTTGCTTTTAAAGCATTAAGGTTAATTTGTCAGCTGTCCTCACTCTAGACTGTACAGAATACATGTAACTAATAAAAAATGCAGTTTATTGCAAAAATATACAAGTCCTCTAAATTGCATAAGATATTACAATGTCGTGCTGAAACATGACATATTAAACAGAGAGGACTTTAAAACAAATTACAAAATGTTAAAAATCAGATTTGGGTCATGAGCGTTACACAAAATGCATTGTCATGCTTTATCTTACGATTAGTCTTGTGATTCACTACATCTGTGATAAATGCAACATAAAATCATGACAATTGTAATAGTCAGAAAGTAATATCTACTGTATATCTTCTGTATTAATACATATAAACACTTTGTGTGCACTAATACTTTCAACATATCACATTCAAACTAACAGTCTTTCCAGAAAAGTTGCAACCTTTTTGAAGAACAGAAGCTGGTTTAATAAGTTCATCGCATGTGGGTTTTTTGAAATCTACTCTTTGAGGAAATGCTGTGTTAAAGGGCTTGATTTTCAAAGGTGCTCGAGTACTATGGGTATTCTTAATGCCAGATGGAACCATCAATGGTAAACACTTTCAAAAATCAAGCCCACATTTTATTAAATTCCTATTTTGTTTACTAGTATTTCCACTGTAGTAAGTCCAAAAAATACCCCCAAACCCACTCTTAAAATCACAGAAAATGCTTGGCATCTATAGGAAGAGAGACAATTTCTCAGTGGACTAACCACTACTGTGCTATATTCTCATAACAGATCTTGCTGCTCCAATGTTTAGTTCATGCACTGGGATCGGCAATGTCCATGTTTGTTCCAAACAGAGCAACTAGCTGCTCTTCATAGTTTGCAATGTTTCTTTTCAGAATTTCCATACAAGGTCCCAAAAGCCTTTCAAATGCCTGCACATCCATAACTAAGATAAAAGGGGAGAGAAAGAGAAAGAATATAACGTGCTCGTCAGTTGCAGACACTAATCTTGGTGTTTATGACATTCCAATGTAAAATTTTAAATGATAACAGGACAGATATTACTGAGGCATATACTTTGTTTGCACAGAAGAGAACCACTTACCATAGCAAAACCAAGATCAACCAACACATTGCTGTCTTGCAACTTTATAAATAACCTTAGAATTTGCTGCGTTTCTTATTTTGAAAATATTTTCATATTAAGAGTTATGTAACCCAAGAGCTGTTGAAGAAGTCTAGAGGGGCCTGGATTCCTCCACAGAACACGGTTTTAAGACCCCTGAGATTTTGTCCTTTGCTGATGTTGTTTGCTGTATTTAGGGTCTAACTTAGTGTATTTCCTTGCTATTTTTACTTGTTTCCACCCACAGTGGAAATTGTAATAGATACTTATTTCCCAGCAAACGTATGAAAAGTTGGAGATAGTAATTCACATCCAATGTCCATGCATAGCCAACCAGAATATTTTCTTTACCTGATCACATAATGTTATCCTCTACAGTTCTAACCAATAGGCCAGGAAGGAAACTTCATACTTCAACCAGCTTCCAACCTGGTGGCCTGGTCTCTTGGATCCTGAGAAAAGTTCAAGATCTCTGCTATTTAGGAAGTGCCAGAGATCTTAGTGACTCACCCATACCGAGTAATGACACTCTTCCTCACCACTGCCTCTGATTCTTTCCTCTCTATCATCTTTGATCTTTATTGCCTGATCATCTCTGTGTGTTCAGAGATAAGGATTTTAAAAAATAGTATCATTATAAGTAATTGAGAAACTTTTTGGTTACTGGCTTCGTAATCAAATTGTCATTCAAGAATGCCAAATCTGTCTTTCCAGTTTACAGTTTTCCCAGAATTAGATACAAATATTTAGGACCTAAACATCAGACCATGAAAAGCAATGGATGCAAAGGGCTGTCTATGAGCACAACTCCTATGGCCTTTGCTATTCCTGTGCCTGAGGCTACAGTGTGACAGAATGATTAAATTAACAGCTGGTGAAGACAAAGAATTAAGTTTAAGCTTAAGTCACGGTGATAAAACGGGACAGGATTTTTACCACAGTATTTCTTGGATGAGAGTCAGTCTACTGAGAAAAGAAATACCTTACCTTTCTGCAGAGTATTAGACATCTATCTGATAGCTATAAATGGTTTGCAGCAATACTCTCTGTACTGTCCTGAAACAATTTTTACTTCCATGAGATCAGAGAAACGTTGGAGAATTTGTGTGTAATACCAGTTATCAATTGCAAATAATTTTTGCAGATAAATAATGTAAATAGGAATGCACAGTATTAGATTATGTACTTAAACAGTCTTGTTTGGGTAAATGTAGTTAAATCTTATATTCTGGAGAAAGACAGAGTTCACAATAAAAACAACCAGATAGATTATGTATCATTTTGTATTAGATATAAAATATTATTGAACAATACCTAAACATTTGACAGTGCCAAGAGCAAATGCAGAAGCGGCTCGTGGTTTGTTAGTTACAAGAGCAAGTTCTCCAAAATATTGTCCTCGTGAGCATCGAGCTATTTCAACTGCTCCGTTCTCTTCTACATCTTGTTTACCCTGAAATATCAGGTAAAAAAAGAAAGAGAAAGGAGAGAGAATGAGAGAGAGATTTGCTGAACTCAGGATTGCATAAGTTAAAATTAGTAACAATGGTAGCATTACTGTTTAACACTTAGTATACATCAAGATCTTAAAAAAAAAAAAAAAAAAAATATCTGTTTTTTAAGGATGTTTACCTTCCTTGTCATTATAATCCTTACTTCTCCAGATTCCACAATGAAGAAAGAATCAGCCAAGTCACCCTGTAGAAGAAAAAAAAAATAATATGAGTAAAGGAAATGTGAAATTTCCTTTTTAGTTTCATGGTAACATTAAAATATTTGCAGCCTGTGCTTTGAAGCTCATCTTTTTGATACCTGTTGCAAAGGAAATCGCTTTTAATGTGAAAACCATAGTCTAGGCACACAATAAACAAAACATCTATACAGAACTGACAGCAAGGCCTTTTCATGAAAAGACAGAGCTGACTGTGCCATATACAAAAAGCAGAGAAAAACAATGTTATGGAAGATTTTAGGATCCTTACTGCTGTTTCTCCACCTTTGTATTCCTTCCAAATTATTTCCCTTAGAGTTTCCAGTATAAAAAGCCTCCAAGGGGCCTATCTGATATCCAGTAATTCTTTCGGGGCAAGACAATCTCAGTTGCCTAACCTGAAGAGTTTACTTCTGCATTTTTCTTCAAAAGATTATCATATTTTAACAAGGTAAGTCTTCAGTGCTCCTTATTGGAAGCAATCATTCTTTTACATAGTTAGTATATTTAGAAATTCAAAAAACTCTGACTCCTTTATTCATACCAATAAAGAGGGACGTTTTTCAAAGTACTGTAAGTGAAAAATTAGCTTCTGAAACAAAATAATCACCTCTCTTAGATGCAAGATTCATTGTTTTTGTTCATCTGAGAAAGAAAAACATAGTTTAAAAGCATGCACTGTCTATAGATAACACGATAATTGTTCCCTATTGGGAAAGAAAAACTAAAACTAGAAATAAACTGTACCTGAGCAATGATTTGTTCTCCATCTTTGTACACTTTGGTGCCAATAACATCAACCACTTTTAAACGCTCAGACATCTTCATTTAAAAAAAGAAAATGTAAGAAATATTTGGTTAACATTACGATATGATATTTAGAAAGCCCTTTCATATTTCTTTTCATGAATCTTTGCACAGAATAGTGTATCATTATTTTCCTGTTTTGATAATCATTAAAAAAGGAAGAACTGCTGAACAGTGTTCCAGAGGGTATATTATAGTCTTAGCAGCTAGATGTTTTGATAGAGCTTCCATTTTTTTTAAGAAGTCTATATATCCCAAGTCTTCAAAGATTATTTTCAGAAAAGCATGCATGTAAAAATATAGCTGTTAAATGAAAATATTTTTAAATTCCCTAAGTAATTTTTTAATTTTATTAGCTAATATCTAGTAAAATTAAGCTTAAGAAAATGAAGGTAAAGGTAAAAAAAATATATTTTTTTAAAAAATACAATATTAACAAAAAATTAACAATAGTTCTTTATCCTGAAAATTTAGAAATATGAAAAATATGGTCTTTCTCCAAAACAAAAGATGCAATATTTTATTGTGGAGAAAATTTGAATTCCAAATTTAAACTCTGCAAAAGCAGAATCTTATCAGGTACCTCTAATACAGCCGTTAAAATAACACAATAGAGATCTTACTTCTAAAGATTTAAGGAATGGCAATGACTCAATAAAATTTTCATACATTCTTCTCTTTTTGGCATTATTTTTTACAATGATTCTTCGGAATGTTACCCTGTCCTGTAAACACAAAGAGAAAAAGAGGGTTTATGAAAAGAAAATACGTGTGTGGTACAAAACACTGTAGAAATGGCTGAATATGTTCAAATTACCCAATTTTAGTCACTCTGTAGCCATCAACCTAGCTGGCTAGTCTCCCCATACGGTCAGTTGAGAAAGATTCCTCTAGAGGTCAACCAAGAGCTCCTGAAGTTAAGCTCCTGATCTGATTCACATTGTGAAAAGCTTCTCTGCCCTTCGGCACAGAATACATAGAGAGTTTACTTTAAACAGGTTGGCTACGCAATAAACGCTGAGTGGGTAATTTGAGATATTTAAGAAATCCTTAATATATAAATATTTAATTTACAAAGTTTATTCATTATCCTGAGGTCCCATACATATTGATACGTACTCAAAGAGGTTTTTATATTGTTATACAAACAAAACCAAAATACATGCGTCTGGGTCTTAGGTCACAGTCCACTTTCTGCTATTTCAGCAGAACAAGACTGCCCTAAACAGCCAACTGGACATTCCTTAGTATTCGGCAATCAAGTGAAGCAGACGTGGAAAAACTACACATATGCTGTTTTTGTCTCTTAACTTCATGTGACTGTGTCCTGGTGATAGACGGAGGTGAAATGCTTTGCAAGCCTTCACTGCTACAGGTGGGACTTGCTGGCCAATACAACCCAATCCAATTTTATAACTTTTTATTAAAATTTAAATTTATTAGACTTTACTTTTTTTAAAAAATAATTAAAATTTTATAATTTTTAAAAACGATTTTTACAACCCCATCCATTCTTGTAGTGTCCTAAACTCTGCCATGATCCCAAAAGTCATATGGATTAAGTTGGTGAAAAAACATGCATTTCTCTTCAACAGGAAAATGATGTTGGGATCGGTCATTAGATTGATAGGTACATGCTGAAGAAGATGGCTATCCCAGTTTTACTCTTTTGGTAAATTCTATTACTGTTGTCAAAGACCCAGATAGTATAACACTGAAAAAAACCTCATATTTGAATTTTACTCTGGAACCAAAGGCATTTCCTATCAAGATGTGGGAAAACATTTTATATATGTGTCTAAGTAATTGTCAAGTGGTTTGCAATTTGGGAAATTACCATTAAAAAAGAACAAAACAAAATTATCTTTAAAAAACTCAGTGTTTTCTTAAGCCTCAGGTTTGTTTCTGCAGATTCTGGAAAAAGACAGTATCGTGTTGGGAGTTCTCAGAATTTTTAAAATTAAACTTTCTGAAATTATATATTTTTTTTTAATGCTGATATAGCATACCAGTGCAATTGATATTAAATAATTAAAACAAATAGCATCTTAAAACAAGTGTTTCACTTACCAAACCCCAGATGGCACCAGGAGAGGTAGCTATAATTGTAGCTGCTCTGGGTGTATTGTACATTAAGGCCAACTCACCAAAACTTCCTCGGTTATCATAGGTTCCAACACACCTCCCAACACCATCACATTTTACATAAATATCATATGTACCTCTGTTAACAAAATATATAAATACAGTGAGTAGAATCCAGTCCTGGTCTTTCCTAAGCAGCCTTTCACTATATTTTTTTATACCATGAATTCCAAAGAGAAAGCATTTGAAACATACATTTGCTTGTTTAAATGATATTAAACACCTTGCAGAGACATCTCAATCACTTCCATAAATAACAACAGTAGTTCCTTTTTTAAAGGGAAGGATAGGGTTATTATTAGTTTTTACATTAACTCCATTTAAAGATAGACTGGATGTACAGTGATCTATTGATCACCAGAACTTATTAAAAATGAAGAGCTAACTTAGTATCTGTTTCTTAATTTCATTTTAAACACACTAAATACAAATGTAACAAGTCTTTGCAAAAATTGCTATGAGTTGATCACTGAAATAATAATACAAGTTATTTAACATTTAAAATATTTTAAAGTAGTAATTTATAATGTAATAAATAGAGGAGATGCAGGAAACAGAAGGAATGTATATGAAAAGCAACGTAAGATTATGAAATAAAGATATGTATTTATGTAATATATTGTGGATTTCTTCTCCCCATCATTAAATTTGCAACTTTATTTTGCTTTGGGAATGCAGTAAAATCTGGTATCTTGTCAAACGTGACAGCCGTCCCCATTGATGCTGAGCCATCATTTTGTTCGACACTGAGTATTTGTATGGTACGTGTTGATAAATCATGTGAATGTAATGTAAAAATCTGTACAATGATTTAATTGATAAGGGACTTAAAGGTGATTCACTGCACCTAAAAACTGCAAGGTTGAAGTCCCTGCAGCTTTTTGGCTAAGAGATGACAAACTGTAACCTCACAAAGCTGTAAAACATTGACTCTTCAGCAAAAAATCCTGACACACTTCTACCATCTTCTGATTGAATATTTCAGTGGGAAGGGACCTACAGCGATCATCTAGCCCAACCACCTGACCAATTCAGGGCTGACCAAAAGTTAAAGAATATTATTAAAGGCATCGTCCAAATGCCTCTTAAGCACCGATAGGCTTGGGCCGTTGGCCACCTCTTTAGGAAGCCTGTTCTAGCGTTTGACCACCCTCTCAGTAAAGAAATGCTTCCCAATGTCTAGTCTAACCCTCCCCTGACGCAGCTTTGAACCATTCCTACGTGTCCTATCACTGGATCCCAGGGGGAAGAGATCCGCTCCTCCGTCTCCATGTCCCCTCCTCAGGAAGCTGTAGAGAGCAATGAGGTCACCCCTCAGCCTCCTTTTCTCCAAAGTAGACAAGCCCGAAGTTCTTAGCGGCTCCTCATAGGACATGCCTTCCAGGTTTTTCACCGGCTTTGTTACCCTCCTCCAGACACTTCCGAGGTAACTTAACATCCTTCTTAAATTGTGGGGCCCAGAACTGCACACAGTATTCAAGGTGAGGCTGTATCACCGTTGAATACAGCGGGATCATCACCTCTTTTGACCGGCTGGTTATACTGATACACACTGACCAAAAAGCTCTGCATTTCTTTTAGAGTTCTAGCATAATATTCCTTTCAAACACTCTCAGAAATCACTGTGTTAGCCTAAAACTAAAGGTACTAATAAGAAAAAGTGTTTTGGGACAGCCTGGCTGGAGTCTGTGCCAACAGACTAGTGAAGGATGCCAAAGTAAACGCTCTTTGTGATTCACTGGATTCAACAGTAATCAATACCTAGGATTTTACTCAGTTACCTGCTTTTGCCAGTACAGATCTCCAAATGAAGAGTAATGGCTTAGCTACTCGAGGTCTAATAATATTCATGTGAAGAAGTCCACAGATAGTAGTGAAATGAAGGAAGAGTTCAAATATTGAGCTGTAAAATTTTTCCCATTGTGTTTTGTGTTAGGTCTCCTTCCATGTAAAAAAAAAAAAAAAAAAAAAAAAAAAAAACCCCAGCCTTCAGGATCCAGCAATACATAAAGAGGACAGGGATATATTTCCATACGAAAAATCTGCCTCCTTTCAAAAACCGCTCTCCGTAGCTCAGACAGAGCTGTACTGGTTCATGTGTTCTTTTTTTCTTTCTCCCATGCAAACGTATGTAAGAATTAAATACAAGTACATAGAAAAATAGATTTTTCTCAATGGACTTTTGCACAATAGTTTGTGCTATAATAAGACACAGCGATTCACCTATCAATGACGTAGAAGTTGTCACCATCATCCCCTTGATCAATGACATGTTCCCCTCCTTCAACCAGCTTTTCAAACATCGCATCTAACACCTGAGACATCTGTTCCTATTTAAAAGAACACAGACAAAGACAAGGAATTATCATCTGCTTTAAAATTTTACTCTTCCAATTAACTAACTGTCCAACCTCCCAATATGCAGATAAAAAATGTTCACAGAGAGAAAATATTCATGCTACAGAAATGTGTGGATCAATCAGAAAGACAGTTTTATTTAGTATTCAGTGTTAGCTTTTTCCTCTTCCAGTGTTCAGAGCCCAGCTTCCCTTCTTGTCCCTGCCAGTGGTAACACAGACCTTGTCTGCAATATAAATTGCTCATGAGCATCTGAAGATAGAATTTCACCCTTCAAAACTGTGTAACATTATACAGTTAAAAGAAACAACTGTATCCCTTATTGCGAACAATACACTTACCTGTTTTTGTCTTTGGAACTATTTTACAGAATTTTTTACAGAAGTTTCAAAATGACTGCAAAGTATTTTGAAAATCTAAATTATACAATGCCTGCACAATGGTGGGATAGATGTAACCATAAAGGTCTGCAGTGCTTTGGTTGAGTAAGTAAAAGCTGGACTGATTGGGAAATAGGAATTTACACACGGCTATAAAACTACTTTGTTAATTTGAATGGAATACGAATGTTTAGAGAGAAATGTTAACAGACTAACAAAATGTCGTCATCTGAATTATGACTGTCTAATAACAAAAACAGATCACTAATTACATAATTTGTCTTGCTTGGTGTAAATCTGCTAAAACTTAACTATTCACATCTAAAAAAACCAAACACAGCTCATTGTGGATTAATTATATGAAACATAAAAAGATAACTTAAATATTTAAATTTTATTTTCAGTTTATCCAGCAATATGCCTAAAATTCTGACAATAAACACAAAATTATCCTCTACTTTTTGAAACTTGTGAAGCAGGTATCATACTGGAACAAGCAGGTTCTAGTGAAAACCACATAAAGAAAAGCCTGTAGATTTAGATCCCCATGCATTTTACAATGGTTCAATTCATAGCATTTCCAGCCACTGAAAGATGGCATTTGCCTTTCCAAACAAGACCAGCCTAATTCTCTAGAGATTCCCCTTTCTTTCCTCTGATGACAGAGAGATCTACTGTAACTTACAGTTAAGACGCTTAATTTTCAGACAGATAAAATTAGGTGGAATGAATTCCATCCTTTTTCTGTTGAATTTCTTCACTTACTCAAAGCTTTTAAAAATATCAGCAGTACCGTGTTATCTAAGCCTTTTTAAAAAATGGAAGCTAAATACAATTTTACTTCACAGAGTTCATTGTGTGTGGGGACAAAGAACAACAGAATGGCAGCATCCATCCTCACTACAGCTGAGCATGGTAAAATACAGCAAGACACCATGCAGCCTACCTAGGCCAGCAAGGAATCATTTAACTATGTCTCTGCTTAGTATACACAGGTATGTATTTGTAAAAAGAAGTATCATTTTACTATCAGTGAATGGGTTATAGTTCATTTCAGAAAAAGAGAAAAGTGTGCGTGGGTGCCATTGGGAGAGACTGAAAATTAGGTACAGGAGTCGCCTTTTAAAAACTTTCATGCTTAAATTAATAGGTAATATTACTTCAGTCTTTTCAGTTCTCCCTATGTATGACCTAATGTCAGTTAGTTGCCTAAACCATTTGAAGCAGCACATTCCCTTCCCCTTGCTTCACACATCTGAACTGGCAAAGTGGCTCCCCAACCAACAGCCCATGGCTGCCATTTGAAAGCCAGTAAGAACGTGCAGAATGCTCAACACTTTATGGGAGGGTAGAGGGTGTATGTTATCCTCTAAATACAAGCAATGCAAGAAAAATATATTATATGGGCCCTGATCCTTGGAAATTAAAATACTCCCAAGACATCCTGGAAAGAAAATTAAACTAAAAAGATGGTTATTTGTGGTACTGATGGAATAATACATATAGTTATAATTTTTATTCAGTATGCTTCATCTCAGATTTCAGGTTAAAACATTTTCAATCTCATAATTATGAATCAAGCTCACCAAAACAGCTTTCCTGGTAGGTAAATCTATGACTTTTTTGGACAACAGAGTAGAATTCACAAACACAATTCCCTTTTAAAAAAATGTTTTAAACATTTGAAGCTATTTAATATAGTTGAGAGCTGTCTATTATCTGCTGAAGTACTGCACATGTATTTTAACATTCTAAATAAATTGCAACTAACTTAGAGACAACCAGTCCCTTTTCCAAAGCTTTTGACGTAAAATTAAGATAGAGCAGACTGCAATAACCAAACCAGGCACATGTTTTTCGCTTTTACCATGAGAATTACAAAACTTGCTTGCCCAGCTTGCTCTGTGTGAATCCTCTTGATTCTCTGCCAGACTGAGGCTCAATTTACTGGCACCCTCCATAGTTACTTTGAAAGGATAGAGACGGGTAATTTTAGAATTAAAAAGTAAATCTGTTATCATACACAGAATTAATTCTGGTATTTTGTAAAATAGTGCAGTCTGAAAGCTTTTCTTCCTTAAAGCAGTTCTAGCTTTAAAAAAATATACATAAAATGAAAACAGGAAGAGGTGGGGTTTTTTTATACCAAGGTTTGTAAATCTGCTACGTGCAATGCCGTGGCAATCTAGTAATCAATATTCTAAAGAATGATACTTTAAAAACATGATAAACTTTTTAACAGAAATAAAATCTATAAAGAATCTGAAGTATTAAACATGTATGTTGTGCGATCTTTGTGACTTCTGCTAAAACTTCATTATCTTAATACAGTTTTTTCAAATATAATAAAGCATCTATTTTTCTTAAGGATAATGCGCTCTACAAATACAAAGAACCAAAACTAAAGTTTAAATTATTTGAAATTTGATTTTTTTATGAAATGTTTATTTACATACTCTGATTAATACACACAATGGATTTTTTCTTTTCCATTCTAAACTGTGAAGCATGTAAATGCTTCAAAAAAGGAACATTATGGGAAATGGGTTGTTGCCATGAAAGCACACTTTGATTGCCCTCCTTTGTGATAGAGAAAATATTTTAACTTCCTTAAAAGTGAGGAGGCTGAATGGGAAATCAGATTTTCTGAAAGATACATTCACAATACAAACCAAATTAATCTGTCGAGATTCTCTTTTTATAAAGATATTTTCTTTTTGTGAAGTGTAGTTACTGCATTCCTCTCAAAAAGTCTTCCTAACAATTGGACTTTAATGACAAAGCATGATTTCACAAAATAATTTACTAGACAAGTGAATAAACATGCCATATTTACAGCCATCATTACTGTCTCAATCACCCTTGCTTTCAGGTGTGGATTTAACTGCTGGGAAGCAAGAGTGCAAAGGAACATTAGCTCCCTTATCAGCATCAGCCAGCATGATATATCCTCTCATATCACCTAAAGTAGAGATGATGCGGTTTTCTTCCCTCTCTTGCTTAGCTCAAGATGGTACCTACCCTAGTTTTATACCAACTTAAATGAACTGTGCTAGTAAAGTTCTTTTGCGTATTTAGATCACTCAGAATCAGAGAATACAACTATGAAGTACAAACTCAACAGGACCAGGGAATGGACTCAAGCACTGACATGGTGTAGTCTCGGCTGGTTTGCTCTTGGTGCAATTGTCAGCACAGCTGGTACAGTTTTGGCTTGTGCCAACTATCACTCCTCCTGAGAAACACTGGTCATGGCTTGGAGGAATGCTTGAGCCAGGGCTTCTTCCCAGTAAAGGTAAAACCACCCTGGTGAGTTGCTTGGTTTGGTGGGGTTAGGAGGAGAGGAAGGTGCAAGAGGGTTTAGCTGTACGTATGCATGTCACACTGCACTGCATGGCCTCAGGAACAGAGAATGTCCTCTGATCTAGTTTGTTGTTACCAATTACTGAACTGAATAAAGGTGACAAGAATGGAAAATTTCAAAATTATCTACTGCAGTCAGTCAAACTCTGCCTTTGGGCATCCTTCTAATTTCCTGACAAACAAAATCTGTATTGCTAGTCAATCAAATGACATTTTCCCTGTAATTAAAGCCTTCAAAATACTGAACTAAGGAAACATTTAATATGAAGGGCATGTGACTATGACTGATAACTAGTAAAAAACAGTTAGCAGGTATTCTTAGCTCTTTAGTCCCAAAACGTGTAAATCAACTCCACAACCTCTCTGGGCAACGAGTTCCAGCATTTGACCACCCTCACAGTAAAAACGGCTTTTCTTAAAACAGATTTTTTTGCATTTCAGTTCATGTGTGTTGTGTCTTATCCTGTCACGGCACCACTTGAGAGCAAGTCTGGTCAACAGATTGGTGCCTCCATCTGCTGTAGAAAGGCATTCTTGTCTCTTCAGTGGACACTTGAAAGATGCTGTCAAGCTCCTGTTTATCCTGCCTGATGCTACACAGTCCTTCTCACATCCTTCTGCAGTTCCTTCAGCTGGCAGCTCAGCACTCTGATCACAGCACATCGCCCACAGGTGAAGCCACCATTGCCCCCCAGTCTTCAGGAGAGACATCTGCCACTCCCAGCAGCCTGAGACCAAGATGGTCACCCCTGGATCTGGGTTGAAACCTCTAGATGTGCCATCATTGGCTGGTCCAGCTGGTGCTGGGGAGCACTCCCTGTAGCCCATCATCACTGTCATTGCACCAGCTCTAGCAGTCCCACACTGTCTTGCGCACCATTTCCAGTTCCCCTTTGAACTCCCATCTGCACAAACTACCTCAACTGCAAAGTCTCTGCTAGTTTGTCCCCTTTGCTGTGCTCCTGCGAGCTCTCTCTCCTCAACGGCCGTTGAGGAGATGCTCTTTATCAACATTTCACTAGGAGCCTGATGCTCTCTGACAGTCATCATGTGCTAAGTATTCTAAACACTACACACTTGTGGCAAAAAGTCCTTGCCCCCTCTTCCCTTTTATTCCATGGCAGCCACATGAATGTCTAGCATAGAAGCAGAACTTTAATGTCAAAAAATACCTCTGGCACTTATCATGGTGCCTATGAACATCATAGCACCTAAGCAGAGGTTTTATG